TTTGAAGAAGTTAATTAAACAAAAAATTTTTAATTATTTTTAAAATTTAAAAAAAGAAATAAAAAAAGTAAAAATTAATTAATTTAAAAAAAAATTAATCCATTAATATGTCTAATATACACAAAGTATTTATGAATATTTAATAATTGTATTATTCTTTTTTTGAATTATTTTGAATTTTTTTTTTTTAAATATTAAATTTTATAATTAGTTAATTATTTTGACAGTTGATTGATCATTTTTTCTAATCTTATATCAAATTCTACTTTTGAAATTTCAAATTTGAAATCAACTTTTTGGAGTTTGAAAAAGAAAAAAGAACAGTTATTATGTGATAATATTAAATTATAATTTGATAGAATAGAACAGTAAATTTACTAAAAATTGTCAAATTGTCAAATGATTTATTGAATATACTTTTCCTTTTACTTTTTAGAATAAATAGTATAAAGTATCTCAGAATTGATATCATTGAAAATACAGTAAATTTCTCAAAACTATCATTTTTCATTTCAGTGATTCATTTGAATTGAACTCATTTAGAACAATCTGTGATCTTAAATTTTTCGCTTAAAATCATTTAAATCGCAAATCTGTAATCTTTGAACTTACATTTGAAAAGAGTTGAATCTTACTTTATGACATTGTGTATACAACACATACTTATGATATAATAGTGATAAAAGGTAATGATAATAATAAACAATTAGTAAACGAATAATAATAACAGTAACAATATGATAATGATGATAATAAATAATAATAATAAATAAATAATAACAACAATAATAAACAGACAATAATAATAATAGTAATAATAATAAAAAGTCCCAGTTTTTATAATTTTGTTTTCTAATTTATTATTATTATTATTATTATTATTATTATTATTATTATTATTATTAGTGTTTATTCCCTGTATTTATATAATCTAAATCTTTATTGGTTTCATTATTAGAAAAACCTTCCTTAATGTTATTTTTTTAAATTTATAAGTGATTACAAGAAGAAAGTATTATTATTATTATTATTATTATTATTATTATTATTATTATTATTATTATTATTATTATTATTGTTACTATTGCTATTACTTATTTATTGGTAATTATCATTATTATTGCTATTGCTATTACCATTATCATTATTATTAATTATTACCGGTACTATTATTGTTACTAATCATTGATTATAAAGCCTTTAAATATATAGTACAAAACAGGATTATTATTACCATAGAAAAAAAAAATGATTGCAAAATAATTTAAACAACAATTTAAATAATTCTTAAATGGCTGAATTAATGGTCGCTTTGTCACAGAAAAGCAATAACTAATTCTTGTAAAATTTAAATAATGCAAAATTGAATTGCCGTAGGGTAAGCGATGCCTATATTTGCATTATTTTAAATTTATTTAAATTCATTTTTTTCATTAATTTATAAAGCTTCTTCCATTTTAAATTATTTTTTTTCTAAAAACTTTTTTCTCAATCTTTTCTTTCCTTTTTCTAAAACTCATTTTTTTTTTCTTTTTATTTGCTCGAATAGAAATAATTGATGAAAAAGATTTTGTTGAATGAAATAATATAATTTTTTTTAAAGTTTTGAACATTTCAATTTTTTTTTTTTTTTGAAAGATAATTGAAGAATTTATTTCTTTTTTTAAATAAAAATATTTAAAACTTTAATGTACGATATTTATTGAAATTTTTAATTATTTTATTGTTTGATTAGTGTAATATTTTAATAATATTATTGATTTTCAGTGTAAATAAATTCGATTATTATTTTTTTTTTTTTTTGTTCTTACTATTGAACTATTTACTAGGATAATAATTTTATTAACTAATTTAATTTTAAATAAAATGTAGTATAAATTTAATTTAATCAATTATTCTCTTTATTTTCTCCATTTACTTTACTTCTACTATTTTTTTTTTTTTTTTTTTGTTTTGTTTGTTATATGCATATATTCAATTATTGTTTTTTCTTCTAAAATCTTTTTTCCTTTCTTTTTTTACTTATTTACTAATTTGTTTTCATTTCATATTGTTATTTTCCTCGAGAATTTAGTCTAATTTTAATTTTAAAATTAGACTAAATTTTTCTAAAAAGCTAAATTTTTATTGTTTACTAAATGGATATTTCATTAAGGTATTTACAATTACATAAATACATGCGGTATTCGAATTTTATTTATTTATTTTTTTTTAACTTTAATTAATAACTTTTGGAAATTATAATTATTATGATTGATTAAGATTGAACAATTATTAATTTTGCTAAATTTTTTTCTTTTGAGACGAAAGATTAAAAATGCAGAATTAAATTAAATGGAATTTCTTGAAATTAAAAACTTGTAAACTAAAAATTCAGCTAATTAAAATTTTTTTAGCTAATTAAACGTTAATAACTTTTGACCACTATACTACATTATTAAAATTTAGTTAATATTAAGTAATTTTTTTTGCTAAATTTTTTTTTTTTTTTGAGATGAAAGATTAATTGGTGATGAAAATTTTTTGAAACTAAATAAATTTTGAAATGAAAAACAAAAAGACAAACTTAGTTCATTTTAAAATTTAATTTTATGAAATTTCAGGTGTAAATGCTGGTCCATTGCAATTTTATCGACATGGAATTTCACATCCATGGAAAGCATTCTGTTCACCTTCGCATTTAAATCACGGTGTGCTAATTGTTGGCTATGGAAAAGAAGGAAATAAGCCTTATTGGATTATTAAGAATAGTTGGGGCCTAAAATGGGGTGAAAATGGCTATTATCGATTGTATCGAGGAAAAAATGTTTGCGGTGTTAAAGAAATGGCTACAACTGCTATTGTTCTGTGAAAAGGATAGATGAAAAAAACTTTTCTTTTCTTGTTTTGATGACATTTTCAATAAATTTTAATTAATTTCCTTCACCAATTATTATTATTATTATTAGTGGTAGTAATAGTAATAGTACTGTTATTATTATTATTATTATTATTATTATTATTATTATTATTATTATTATTATTATTATTATTATTATTATTATTATTATTATTATTATTATTATATTATTATTATTATTATTATTGTTATTATTATCATTACTATTATTATTGGTGGTAGCAGTAGCAGTAGTACTATTATTATTTTTTTTTTCTTTGGTAAAATTTTCAATAAGTTTTTTTTAAGTTAATTTTATTCAACAATTATTATTAGTACTAGTATTATTCTTCTCCTTCTTCTTCTTCTTCTTCTTCTTCTTATTATTATTATTATTATTGCTATTATTATTACTATCTTTTTTTGATAAAATTTTTAATAAATCTTTTTTAAAATTAATTTCTTCCACTAGCTATTATTATTATTATTATCGTTCTTTTTTTTTTTTTTTTTTTTTTGTTGAATTTTTTGTACATATATTTATTTATTTGATCATTTGATTTCTTTGTTTTCTAAATTTATTAAATTTATTCCTATGATTTGATATTTTATAATATTGTACGCATTAATTTTATTTTAATCATTGATTTATTCATATACTCATTTACCTATTAATAATACAATCATTTTTTGTTTACATTTTAAGAACAAATAAAATGAACTTTCATCTTTGTTTTTATCAAATTCAATTGTTTAATGTCCTTTTCTCGAAAAAAAAGAAAGAAAAAAAGTGTTTACTGATTTATTGAATTATCAATAATCAACTAAATATTGATAATTTCAATTTTATTTGTAATCTATCATGCATTTTTTCAATAAATATTAAAATCTAATATGAATTTTCTTTTTTTTTTCTTTGGTATTATTAAAATGATTTTAAAACTTTTTCTTTCTTCGATATATGAAAAAAAAAATTATAAATTTATCAGTATGTTAATTTGTCGTAGTTATCAGTAACTTTTATATTAGCTTTGAATAAATATTTATTTTACAAAAAAAAAAAGTTGTTTGCACCAAAAAATTGTTTCATTGATTAGATCAAAAGATAAATAAAGTATTAATTAATTTTTTATTAATTATTGATTTCTTTTTAAATATAATTTCTCTTTTATAATCATTTAACAACTAGTTGGTTCTATTTTTTAATTTTTTTTTTTTATATTTAAAAGTTATCTATTCGTTTCCATCGAAATTTTATTTAATTTTCTTTTTAATTCTTTTAAATAATTAGCATAACGTTTTATACATTTTAATAAATATTCAAAAAAAAAAATAATTTAATAAATATTCAAAAAAATAATGAGTGAATTTTTATAAAATATTATGATGCATTTATTATTGAAAAAATTTTTTTTTCATTTTCTTTTCATTTTAAAAAAAAAAAAAGAAAAATTATTTATTTGCATAGAAGATGGAATAATAAAATTATTTAAATTATTACTTTTACAACAACAATCAGTACTTATTCATTCATTTTTATTAAATTCCGTACGGTTAACAGGACTGTTCCGAATTTATCATTTTTATTATTTTTAAAAATAACAAGTAATTTCCGGTTTTATCATCTATGTTATTTTGTAATTATTTATTTATAAAATTTGCTATTCATTTTTATCAATCCAACAATAATAATCATTGTATTTAACGATGAGAAAATAATTTTAAAAATAAATAATATTTTTCTCTTTTTTTAACTTCAAATTTTTAAATTCTTAAAATTATTTGAATTTTTACGATTAAAAATTTTGAGAATAATTACTTTTTTTTTTTAATCGTAAAATCTATGTTTTTTCTTTTCTTTTCGTTTTTTTTTTTGCTATGATTAAAAGAAATTATACTTAATATATCTGAATTACTTAATTTAAAATATAAATTTTAATGTTAAATTATCAAAATTTAAAAAAAATTAAATTATCAGAAATCGAAAAATTTTAATATTAAGTTGTGAAATTTTGAAATATAAATATTAAATTATCAAATTTAAAAAAGAGAAAAATATTAAATTATCAAAAACAAATTTAAGCTTATATTACGTTCATTAAAAAATTAATTATTTTTGAAAATGGAATTAGCAACAATTGCAACAAAAGAAGAAAGTACATTAACTGAGTTAATATTTATTCATAAAAAATTATTCAAACTTTCATCGCAAAAAAATTCGGTGCTAAATTTATCAGCAAATTTTTATACGAATTATGGTCCACGCTCTGTTCGATGGTACTTTATTTATTTATTTATTTTTTAATTTTTTAAAATTTCTTATTTGAAATAATTTATTATTGTTTTTTCTTTCTCTTAAGAATAGTATAATTTAAAACATAAAATATTTTCTTCAAATAGTTTAAAGTTTTAAAAGAGAGAGAGGAAAGAAAAAAGCTTCCCCTATTATATTTTATTATGAAAATAATTTAAAAATAAAATAAAGTAAAAATCAAAAAAAATTTATAAATATTATTTCATTCTTTTTTGAATAATTCAAATTTATTCAAACTATTCATTCATCATAATTATTTCAAATATTACAAACAAAATTTTATTATAAAACTTATAATATTATGAATCTTTCTTTCTTTTTTCTTTTTTTTAAAAATATTGAACAATTTTTAAATTATTTTTATATTTTAATAAATTTACAAAAATTTTTTAGGTCAATATGTTTCTCAGGTTATACAACAATTGCAGTTAATTCCACCGATTCATATTCAATTCCACCACGTGGAAAATATAAAATTACTGCTAAAGCAATTTCAAAACAAAATATTGGTGAATAAATAATTTTAATTTTTTTTTAAATGAAAAAAAAATTCTTTTTTTATAATCCAAAAAAAAAAAAAAAATTAATCCAATAAAATTCATTATGTATTGATATATATATTTTGTTTTTTTCTTTTCTCATCTATTATTTTCTAGAAATATCAACTGAATTAACATTTGAAAGAAATTTAATTGATATATGGAATTCGGAATTTTTGGCAAAAATTTCAACTATTTTGGATTCAAACGATTTTTTTGATTGTGTATTAAAATTACGATATGAATTACGATTTGATGCAAATGAATTTATTCATATTAATCCATGGCTATTTTCAACATCATTTGTATCAACAATAAATATAGTAGCAAATCTACCAAATAATGATTATCGTTCAATTATGTATGCAAATGCTATGCAAAAATCGTATGCCTTTTTTTTTTTTTTGAATTTTTAATTTTTAAAATTATATTTGATTAATTTTAATTAATTTAATATTCAAATAATTATGTTAAGTTATGACATAATAAATTATGTATGTTTAAGTTTTAATTTTTGAAATTATATTACGAGAATATTAGATTAATTCTAATTAATTTTAAGTATTTGTATTAAATTATGTTTGTATTTAGTTTAAAAATTAATTTAAAGAATTATATTAGTGAAAAATATTTTTAAAAATTATATTATTTGATTAATTTAATTAATTTAATATTCGAATAATTATATTAAAATATGACAGAATAAATTATTTATGTTTAGTTGGTGTAAAAAAATGATTTACAAAATTATATTACTATGGAATATTCTTAAAAAATATATTATTCGATTAATTTTAATTAATTTAATATTCAAATAATTATGTTAAACTATGACAAAAGTTATGCACATTTAATTAATATAAAAAATAATCCAAAAAAACATATTTGTATATTGAAAAATTGTATTATTGAACTGATTTTAATAAAATATTGAAAATTATATATTGAAAAGTTATTTTTTTTAATTTGTATTACTTTAATAATTTAATAGCTTTAATAATTTAATAACTTATATTATTAGATTTACAAATTTTGTTTTCTTAATAAATCTAATATTTTAATAATTATATGTAATGATAATAAAACTAATTTTACATATTTAATTCATATAAAAATTTGATCTAAAAAAATTTTATCATATTACTAAAAAAGAATTTCTTTTTTTGAAATTCTTTTTATTATATTTAAATTATTTTTTCTTTGTTTAAAATTTTTCTTTTCCTTTTTTTTCTTTTTTAAAGTGATTTTAAAATACACACAAAAAATGGAACAATTGAAACTGTACGCTATTTATTATATTTAACAATTGATCGAATACATAATGAAATCGATGCTAATCCATCGATTAAATCAATCGTAATTGAACACCAAAAAGAATCAGTTCAACAGGTGTTTGCTTAATTTAAATTTAAATTAATTCATGCATCTAATAATAAACAATGAAAAATTTCCCGCAAAACCCTCTCTCTGTCTGTCTCCTTTTTTTTTTTGTTAAAATTTAACAGAAATTGAGCAAAATGCAAAAAAAAAGCTTTAAAGGAAAATTTATAACTTTTTCATGCATAATAAAAATTTTTTTATCTTAAAAAAAAATTTTATTTTTCTTCCTAAATTAACTTTTAGGTAATATTTTTCACAATAAAATTTTTGCAAATATATGTATTTTTATCTATTCAATAATTAAATTAACTAAAAATTATATTTGAATTAATATTTCAAATAATTTTTAATTAATTTTGATATTGAAGAGAAAAAAATTTGTGTACAAGGATTTTTTTATATGAAATTTAAAAAATTTTCTTTTTTTTTAACGGCAATTTTTATAATTTAATGTAAATTATAATTTCATACAAAAACGAAAAAAGGAATAATATCATTTTCATTCATTCTTGATTTTGAATTAGTTATAATTTAATATTTCTTTATCACTTATTAATTAAAAATTGATATTTACCTTATCACAGACCAATTAAATTTTTTGATAATTCATTATAGATGAATGCTTATAATTTAATGATTAATTTAATGTTTTCAGATCAATTATAATTTAATATTTCGTTATAATTTAATATTTCTTTATTTGATAATTAATTATAATTTATCATTTCTCTATCACTAATTAATTATAATTAAATATTTCATTATAGATGATTGATTATGCATTAAAAGGTTCATTTGATATGATGGATGCATCGCCAGATATTTTAGATGATTTTATCATTTGTATTCGGACATTTCGGCCGCGCGGCTTTTGGACACTTATTCATCATATCACTGATGGCCTTCGTAATAAATTAAATGAGGTTTCATTTTTTTTTCATTTTCACCAAAAAAAATTTTAAAAAAAAAATTTATTTCCTCTAAAATAATATGAATTGGAAAAAAATGATTAATAATTAATTAAATTTAATTTTTGGTTTCAAAATTTCTTTCTTTTTAATGAAGAAAAAAAAAAACAAACAAATTAAATAATTGCATACATAATTACCAATGAATTTGATTGAATTAAATACTTAATTTTCTCAAAATTAATTCAAAAAATTTAAAGCATTCAAAAATCAGATTAACAATTAATTTAATTAAAGTTTTAATTTCAAAAAAAACACAGAAACTTTTTAAAAAGAAATTTTACTATAAATGATTGTATGCATAATTAAGACATCAAATATTGATAATTTAATATTTTTAATTTTTAATTTTCAAATAATTTAATTTATAGCAATGGAAAAATTTGAATATCGATATTGTATTACGTTATCTTACCTTAAGCGCCCATCATCGTTTGCATGAATTATGCTCAAAAGCTATTATACTTATTGCAAATGTACACTATAAACAATTTATGTTTGTTTTAATTAATTATTTAATATTCATAAAAAAAAAATAAACAATAAAAAAGAAAATAAATTTATTCATCGATCAGCCAATAAATACTTTTTTTTTTATTTAGTTTGTTTTTTTTTTTCTTTTCTTTATTTTTCTAAAAAATTTTTTATTTATTTTATTTTTTTCTTTTTTTATTTTTCTAAAAAGTTTTATTTTCAATCAATTATTCAATTACTAATTATATTATACAATATGTATTTATTTATATATATATATATATATATTTTTTTTAAATTCATAATAAAACCAAAAAAAAGAAAATAAAAATTTGCTATATCATTTTTTGTTTTTCATTCTTTTTTTTCAGCTATTTAAAAGAATTTTAAAAAAAGTGTCATTTACATATTTTACAAATTTTATTTTTAATTCAATTTTCAATTAATATTTTATCAATTAATTTTCATTTTATATTTTTAATTGATTACACGAAATGTTATACTTTATAGGCTTGAATATAATGTTGATTCAAAAGGAACAAAATTAGAAATTTACAATATGCTTAAAAATAGTGAATTGCCATTTGAAGGAAATGCAATTCAAAAAATTCAATCTATTTATTATGCCGGTAAACAAACCGAAGTTTTATTCCGGTATAGAGTGAAACAGGAACAAAGTCGTACAGGAAATGATCCTGCAGCAATCAAATAATTGCTAATGAATAAAACGGAATTAAATTATGAATAAACGGAATTAATGAAAAATACTGATAATAATAATAAATGAAATTTAATTATGTTAAAGTTCGTTTTTGAGCAATATGAAAATAATAATGATTAGATCAAATTGTTAAAAAAATCGATGGATTGTTCCGGTAAATAGTGATAGACTATTCCGGAATTTTGAAATTTTGATAAATTATTCTGCTAGATAGTGATAGACTATTCCGGAATCTTAAAATATCAATGGATTATCCCGGTAGATAACAATCGACTATTCCGGAATTTTGAAATAAACAATCAAACATAAAAAAAAACATTAGCGTTTGTTGTTATTAACAAAAGTTAACAGATTTACATCAAAATTCCGGTAGATTGAATTAATTAAAATATCATAACAACAAGCAACATTTGATTTCATTTCATAAACCGGATTAACTATGTTGCTTTCAACATATATCCGGTCTTCTTAATATTTCCGAGTGCTTATACTGTTAAGTGATAATTAATTAAGTTGATTTTTATTCGAGACTTTTTCTAATTATCATCTCAACATTACCAATAACATACATATATTTACCACAATTTCCTTTTTCTTTTCAGAAAAAAAATAATCAAATATTGATTAGAAATTAAATACCAAAAATGGTACTGAAAAAAATATATTAAAACTTTAATCTCATATTTTACAATTTATCAACAATTTTTTTTTTCTCTGTTCCAAAATAAAATTAAAATTTAATGATAAGAATATATTCAATTGCTTTCATTTTTTTTTTTTTTATCAAAAAGAAATGTATTAAAAATTTTTGATCATAAAATAATGCAATTAAATTAAAGTTTTTAAGTAAATTCAATTGAAAAAAAAAATGATTTTTACATAAAATATTTTTTTCCATCATTTAAATGACATATCGATTATAAAATAATGCAAATTTATTTAATTCATTCTAATATAGTATAAAAAGATTTTTAAGTATTTAAGCAAATTTAATTAGTAAAAATTGCTTTCACAAAAAAAAAAAAAAAATTCCATAAAAGGTAAAAATTTGAATTGAACGGGCGAAAATTCAGTGATTCATCGTCCTTAATTCATCCTAAAACCTTTCATTTTTTTACAAAATTTCTTTCTCTTACATTAAATGCTTTCTCTTTCAATAATTTTTTTTTTTATTTTAAAAAAAAAAATTTTTTTTTTCATTTTAAAATAAATAATAAATTATTAGAATGTAAAATAAAATATTGCTCCAATAGTTTCTTTAAAGTTTTTCTCTTTTTTTTCTTTAAGCTTTCAATTAGCTAATAAAATTTACTTGAAAGCTTTCTATTGTTAATTATATTTTAAGTATTTAATTAACTTATCTAATTAATAAAATAGTATAAATTTAAATAATTGATTATAATTAATTATTGTATTATCTTTCTATCGAATTAAATATCTAAATAGAAAAGATGGTCAATGATCAAAAATTACGAGGGAAAATGTTTATTGTTTTATTCCTAAAAAAAAAGAGAGGGAGAGAGAGAGAGAGAGAGAGAGAAAAAACATTTGGCTAATTAATATTGTTATTGCACATCAATCATTGTTAGCTTATTGTTATTATTATTTGGCTCATTTAATTATATTTTATTATATTTAATAAATTAAAATGATAATATATTATCTATAAAATTGATAAATTATCTTTTATTATATTTAATAAATTAAAATGAAAATATATTATCTATAAAATTGATAAATTATCTTTTATTATATTTAATAAATTAAAATGATAATATATTATCTATAAAATTGATAAATTATCTTTTATTATATTTAATAAATTAAAATGATAATATATTATCTATAAAATTGATAAATTATCTTTTATTATATTTAATAAATTAAAATGATAATATATTATCTATAAAATTGATAAATTATCATTTATTATATTTAATAAATTAAAATGATAATATATTATCTATAAAATTGATAAATTATCATTTATTATATTTAATAAGTTAAAATGATAATATATTATCTATAAAATTGATAAATTATCATTTATTATATTTAATAAATTAAAATGATAATATATTATCTATAAAATTGATAAATTATCATTTATTATATTTAATAAATTAAAATGATAATATATTATCTATAAAATTGATAAATTATCATTTATTATATTTAATAAATTAAAATGATAATATATTATCTATAAAATTGATAAATTATCTTTTATTATATTTAATAAATTAAAATGATAATATATTATCTATAAAATTGATAAATTATCTTTTATTATATTTAATAAATTAAAATGATAATATATTATCTATAAAATTGATAAATTATCATTTATTATATTTAATAAATTAAAATGATAATATATTATCTATAAAATTGATAAATTATCATTTATTATATTTAATAAATTAAAATGATAATATATTATCTATAAAATTGATAAATTATCTTTTATTATATTTAATAAATTAAAATGATAATATATTATCTATAAAATTGATAAATTATCTTTTATTATATTTAATAAATTAAAATGATAATATATTATCTATAAAATTGATAAATTATCATTTATTATATTTAATAAATTAAAATGATAATATATTATCTATAAAATTGATAAATTATCATTTATTATATTTAATAAGTTAAAATGATAATATATTATCTATAAAATTGATAAATTATCATTTATTATATTTAATAAATTAAAATGATAATATATTATCTATAAAATTGATAAATTATCATTTATTATATTTAATAAATTAAAATGATAATATATTATCTATAAAATTGATAAATTATCATTTATTATATTTAATAAATTAAAATGATAATATATTATCTATAAAATTGATAAATTATCATTTATTATATTTAATAAATTAAAATGATAATATATTATCTATAAAATTGATAAATTATCATTTGAAAATTGTAAAATGATTAAAATTCATTTAAATTCATTTGTTTGTATATTGTCTTTTGCTATAAAAACGAAAAAAAAGAGTGAAAAAATGCTTAAAGGTTTTAAAATTTTATTATAGTAATTAATTTTCTGCACAAATAGAAAAAATTATCCATTTTCTACTTCTTTTTTTTAAAAAAAAATAAATTTTCCGAATTTTTTTTTCCTTTTCTTTCTATCTTTCTCTCTTTCTCTCTCTCTCTCTCTCTCTCCCTCTATTTTCATTCAATAGTTTTAGATAAAATTTTTCAAAAAATTTTTTTACGTTCAGTTTAATTTTTCTCTCTCTCTCTCTCTTTTTTTTAAAAAAAAAAAGATTACTTACAAATTGCTTTCAAATATTGTTGCAATAGAATTAATCAAATTTGTTTTTTAATTTAGTAAATTATAATTTGATATGAAATTTTAATTCATATACCATTAAATCATTATTATACATATATTTTTTTTTTTTTAATTTTTTTATTATTAATTTTTTTTTTTGATTCTTAAATTTCTATTACTATTTTTTAATTTTATTATTACTTTTATTCTATTATTATTATTTTTATTATTAATTTTTTATCATTTTTTATTGTTTTTTAATTTTTTATTTTAAATGTTTATTATTATTATTATTATTAAATGTAAGTAATGGCAATATCAATTGTACCAACAAAACCAAAACGATATTATTTACCGTTATCATTATCATTTGATGATACCGATTATCGCTACAAACGATGGCAGTATAATATCAGGTAATGATTATAGTAATATTGATAATTAAAAAATAATTAGTATAAAATACAAGTATATAATTTATAATTTAATATATAATTAAACACAAGATATTTTATAATTAAATATAAATTTTCTTAGTATAAATTTTACTATTAAACATATAAAATTTTAACAATAAAATTAATGAAATTAATTAATTGCATTAATTAACAATATTTGTACTTTTAATTTATGTACTTAAATTTTTTTTATGTTTATATTATGTAATGTAGAATTATTAAAATTGAAATCTTAATTTAACATTTTTTAGATAAATTTTTTATTTTCCTTTTAATTGAAAAAAAAAATTATATAAACATCTACTATTCATTATTGCTATGTTTTTTGAAATATTTATCAAAATTAAAATAACATTTGTAGGTAAGCAAAAATTAAATTAGTAATAATTAGCAATAATTGAAATTCATTTTTTAATTAAACTTTTAATTAACAAAAAAAAATTTTCTTTTTCAGGCATTCACTACGAAAAACAAATATTAGTAAGGTTTATATTTTCATTTTTGCTTTATTTTTATTATTGAAATTAAAAGAAAAAAAAATTATTTACTTATAAAATATTTATTATTTAAAAAAAAACTGTAAATTTCAAACAATTTTCATATTTTTAAAAATTTAAACATTTAAAGAATAGTGACAAACAAAAAATGAAAAATTATACCGAAAAAGTATAAATGCAATTTTGAATTCATTGTTTTATGGAATAATTATTAAAATATAAGAATTGAAAAGAAATTTTAATAATAAATTTCAGATTCTTTTTTAAAACTTAATGTTAACTTAATTAATTTGTTTTGAACTCTATGGAATATTTATTAAAATATAAGAATTGAAAAAAAAATTTGATAAAGAATTTCAGATTTTGTTTAAACTTAATTTTAACTCAATTAATTTATTTATAATATTTTAGATAATTTGCAATATTTTGATGCTGAATTATTCGTACATACCATAATACATCAAACAGCAATGCCTATGCAACAATCTTTTATCAAAAATCAGTATGTTAATTTGTTATCACAAAAAATTATTATCATTATCATGCTTAAAGTTTTTATCAGTGATAATAATACATTTGTAATTTTATCTTTACAGTTGTTTACTTTTTTTTAAATGAAAACTTTTTGTTTATTGATTATTCCTTACATTTTAATTAATTTATAATTATTTTGAAAAATGATAAATTATTAAAAAAGAAAGAAAAAACACAGAAATTGTTGATTAGAGGAAAAAAAAATTTTTTTTTAAAGAAAAAAATATATTTAGATTGAAACAAGTAGAATGTATTTCAAAGCAAATGTCATCACAACAGTTATCAAAACATTCTCCACAATTGGTGAAATTTTACTTTGAAAAAAAAAATTAAAAAATTGTTTAGTTAAATAAGAAAACAAGAGAGAGAGAGAGAGAAAGAGAGAGAGAGGGATTAAAAAAAGAGAAATCATTTGTCATCTATTATATTTACACAAAAAATTTTTGTTATAATTTTTCTTTCTTTCTTTATCTTTTTTTTTCTTTCAATTGTAAATTTTTTTTTTTTTTTTTGTAAAAATATAAATGTTTGAACAAATTTGTTTAAAAAGCTAACAAATAATTGTTAGAATTATGTGATAAATTAAACGAATAATTCAATAAAAAAATTTTATTAATACTACAACAAATCTTTCATTATTATTATTTGTTATTACTATTTAAAGTATTTTATTATTACTATTAAAGTATTTCATTATTATTATTCGTTATTATTATTAAAGTATTTCATTATTGCTATTAAAGTATTTCATTGTTTTTATTAAGTATTTTATTATTACCATTAAGTATTTCGATATTATATTAAGTGTTTCGATATTACTGAGTATCTCAGTATTACTATTAAGTATTTCAATATTTCTATTAAAGTATTTCATTATTACTATTTACTATTACTATTAAGTATTTCATTATTACTATTAAACCATTTCGTTTTACTATTAAGCATTTAATTACTACTATTAAAGTATTTCATTATTATTAAAGCATTTCATTATTTTTATTAAGTATTTCATTAATACTATTAAGTATTTCAATATTACTATTAAATATTTCAATATTTCTATTAAAGTATTTCATTATTACTATTTGTTATTACTATTAAGTATTTCATTATTACTATTAAAGTATTTCATTATTACTATTTGCTACTAATATTAAGTATTTGATTATTTTATTATAATACTATTAGCATTTCAACCATTTTTTTCTTTTTGTTTATTTTTAGGCACTAACACAATGCAATGGCGAACAAATATTTCAAAAATGCTACAATGAACGATCAAAAAATATAAATTCGAAGAAATTTTCGAAAATTTTCCCAACAACAAAGCATAACAATAATAACAATAATAATAATTTGTTATCAATACGAAATGAAATTGATGCGAACAATGCGATTGATCTGATCGATCAAAATTTTAATCAAAATCACAATATGAATTTAGGAATAAAATTATTAGCAAATGTATCACATTCTAATCGCTTAAATACTGAACAACGTCTTAAAACAACGTTTATTACATCAGCCGAGAAAATGATACATATTTTTTATCGAAATACAAAAATGGTATGTAAATTTAAAATTTATTTAAATTCATACATAATCAAATGTTTATTATTATTATTATTAATGTTGTTATTGTTTATAAATGAATTGAATGTTTATTAAAATTCAAAAAAAAAATGGTATTTAAATTTGTATACCTTAATGTTTTTATTCTTTAAAAATGAATTAACAAATAAAATTTATTGAAATACTGAAATTATTATATTTTTGGTTTCATTTTTTTAAATGAACTTTTAAAACAAATAATTTATAAGTTATTGATTAATACACAATATAGTAAATACTATTATTTTTTAAAGTAATGCATAAATATCAAAAATTTTAGAAACAACAGAATAATTCAATGCTAAATCAAATTTTATTAGTAGTGCAATATTTAATAATAAATAAGTTTTTATAAGTTTTTTTTTTCCTTTTTTTATTTCATATATTTTAATTTATTTACTTTTAATTCTTAATTGCAATTTTTTCTTATATTTAAAATCATATTCGTGAAATTTGGTTATAATACTTTGAAAATTGATATTTTTAAGTTTTAAATTTTAACAAAATGTCATTTTTTTCTAATTTTAGATTGAAAATCCGGCAACATCAAAGGGTCATAAATATATTCAAAAATTACAACATCCAATAAAGTATTTTACTGATGAAGATAGTGATGTAAGCTACATTTAATTTAAAAAGGTTGGAATTATAAATTTAAAAAAAAAAAATTATTATAAGAGAAAATTGCTGTAAAATAAAATTTTGTTAAAAATTTTTTTGAATTTTGAGAAAATTTCTTTGCGAATTTTTTTTTTTTTTTTGTTGATTAAACTGAAATTTAGTTACTGCATTTGAATTTAATAATAAAAATAAATTAATATATTAAAGAATTACTTTACTGATTTACACATTTCTTTATTTCATTAATTTTTGATATTTTTTGTGTTTTTAATTCTTTTCGAATTTTTTTTTTTTTTTGAATTATCACTTATAATTTCTTTAAATTCTACTAATATTAATATCAGATAAAATTTTTTTAAGGTTTTCAAATCAATATCGTAAAGAAATGAAAGAAAAAAAAGAGAGAAAGCGTCGAGAAAAAGAAAAACAATCGAGAAAAGGAAAAAAGCAATTCCAATAATCAATTTCGATTATTTTATTTCCTATTTTCCTCATGTTTACTAGTTTTTTCTTTACTATCAATAAATTTCCTTTGTTTTGTTTTCGTTTTTGTTTTTTTGCTTATTTTCTTTGCATCATTCTTCATATTAAATTAATTATCAGAATTATTTAATTACTATTAATTTCATTTCTTCATTTCCTATAGAATAATATTAAATTTTTATTGCTATATAATAAAAATTAATGAATCAATTATTATTACTACTACTATATTATTCTAAAATTATTTCACAAAAAATTTGATTGTATTTTTTTTTTCGATACTTTTTATCTTATTGTTTATTTTATTATTGTTGTTTAAATATTTTGAATTCAATTTATCTATGAATGCAATTTCAGTATTCGATCAATAATTTTTTAATTTGATGTTTTTTTTCAAATTTTTTGAATTATTTCAATTTTTTTCGTCCTCTTTGTTTTTCTTTGTTTAAAGAAATAAACTATGCCACAATATATCGTACAAAAAATAAACAATTAAAATAAAACTATGCAAACTATTAGTTAAATTTTTCAACCTTAATTATATTAAAATTTGAAATAAAGCGTTTTCGTTTTTTAAAATTTTCCAAAAATGTCATTTTTAAAGGTGACAATGAAAATTGTCACACTTTTATAATAGTACCTTAATAGTTTTATAAGATTCAATCATCAAAGATAAATAATTTATCAAAAAAAAAGAAGGAAAAACAAACACATTAATCGATTGAAATTGTAATATTTATATTTTAATTTATAATTTAATTAAAATTATTTTGAATGGATAAATATTTTTTGAATTCGTAATTTTTATTAATTATTACATTAAATCCAACGTACGATGTTGACAATATCATTATAATTTATGTGAATTTATTTATTCTTAATTAAGAATTAATTAAATTCAATTATTAAATATTAAGTAACGAAATGGTATTCGGTAATTAATTTAGGTAATTAATTAAATTTGAAAGAATTTTTTTTTTTGATGAAAAAAGAAAACATTCTTATTTAGCAATATCAGATTGGATTAAATCACTTTTTTTGAAATGAATTAAATGAAATGGACCAAATCAGAAATATTTAATCGATTTCAATTTCAAATTAATTAATTTGATTTAATGATACGACTAAAATTATATGGCATATAGCTTAACAATTTTTTGTTTTTTTTTTCTCTTTTTTGAAAATTAATGCTATATTTACATTGTTTATGAATTATTGCTAATAATAAATAATTTGAAAGTTTTTTAAAAATTTTATAAAAAAAATTTGGAAAAATAAGAAGCTTTTTTAGATAAGAATGCATAAAAATTTTAAATGTTTTGCAATAAAAAATTCAAAATGATTTAATTTAAAAAAAAAAAAAAGAAGAATGTAATTCTATGACAACAATTTCTCTATTTTATATTTTATTTTAATTTAATTTTAGATATTTTATTTGCGACTATTCTAATTTTTATTATTATTATTACTATTAGTGTTAATAATTGAAACAATTATTACTCAAAATTTTTTTTTTATTCAATTAGAATAAAATAAATTAATTGCTAATAGTACTGAAAGAACAATGATTAGAAATAATGAAAATATTATTTGTAAAAAAACAAAAACTTTAAAATGGTTGACAAATGCATAATTATAATGTGACAATTAAATAGAAAATTAAATATTAAATATAAAAAATTTTCATATAAAAATAATTAAATATAAAAATAAAGCAAATAGTAAAGCCATTATAATAAATAATAAAATAAATTATTCAAAAAAAAAAGACAAAGTTGAAATTTTAGATAATGAAATAAATTTGAAACAAAAATAAATATTAAAATGAAATTAATAAATTTCAAAAATGAATAAAAAAAAACAATGTGAACAGATTCTAATGATAAAATAAAAATAGCAAACAGAAGAATAAGATTATTAATTAAAATAAATAAATACAAAGGAAAGAGAAATCAACAATTTAACTAATGTAACTAATCAGAGAAAAGATTTTAAAAAATTAAATACTATTTGTTTAATTTGTGTAAATAATTTTTTAAGTTTAAAAAGACAAAATTTGATAAACTGAATTAAATTGAACTAAAATATGTGCAAATATAATTTTAAAATGCAATACGAAATCATTCAACAAAACAATAAATCAAATTAAAGACTAAGAAAACAAAATTATCATTAATGATAGATAATATTTGATAATTTATAAAATTTTATACCTTTGATTGTGTAAGCAAATTATTATCACTATTATCATGATTGTTATTACCATTATTATTGCTATTATCACGATTATTATGATTGTTATTACTATTATTATTACTATTATCACTATTATCATGATTGTTATTACTATTATTATTACTATTATCACTATTATCATGATTATTATTACTATCATCACTATTATTACTATTATCATGATTGTTATTACTATTATAATTGCTATTATCACGATTATTATTACTATTATTATTACTATTATCACCATTATTACTATTATCATTATTACAATTATTACTATTATTCGTAGTAGCATTATTTGATTGTTTTTGCGCAATTCGATTTTGCCAGTATAAGGCGCTTTTGTCAGCTTTTTCCTTTCGTCGAATGAGCTCAATTTTATATCTTTCATTTTCTTCAATGCGTAAATTCATTTCATTTAATTCTTTTCTCATTAATTTTTCTTGCATTTTACACTGAAATTGCGATTATTTATTTTAAAATATAATAAATTGAAAAAAAAAAAGAAATTTTTACAAATAATACTAAAAGTTTAACAACGAAAAAAAAGAATTAACAAATAATACTAAAAAATAATAATATTAATTAATCCTAAAAAATTTTTTTAGTAAAAAACAAAAAAAATTAATTTAGCTCTATGATTGGCATTTAATTTGATAGTTACAATTAATTTTAATGGATAATTAAATAGTTTAAATTAAAAAATTATTTAGCTTAAATTGAGAAAAAAAAAATTTACAGCAAAATGAAATTAAATGCATTTTCTAACATTTAAATAATTTAAAAAATATTGAAGAAAAAAAAATTTTTTTTTTTTTTTTTTTTTTTGAAACACTTACATATTTTATACGTTTCTTAAGTTGTTTACACTTCTTTTTTCCATTTTTTACTTCATTTTGTATTTCAACAAACATTTCACATTCCTTTGAAAATGGTCTAAAACAATTAAAATTATTCCAATTATTTCAAATAAACTATAAATTAAATCTAAAAAAAAGACATAACAAAATTATTAGTATAATAAGCAATTTATTAGCTTAAATTTTTGATAATAATTAAAAATCAATAAAATATATGAAAATTATTTGTTAAATATAATTTAAAATAAACTTACTGATAATCAATTTCACTAAAAAGCTCATCTTTTGCATCTTGCAACTGATCTGATAATGAATTGATAAGATTTTGCAGTGATTTAATCATTTCTTTTTGTTCAATGCATCTAAAAAAAAAGGAAAATATTTGATTTAAGCAAATTTTTTTTCAAAATATATACTTAAAATGTTAAAAAAAACTTAAATTCCTTTTTTTAAAAAAGGATGAAAACTACAAAACTTAAATTAATTTCAAAACTTTAACTAAATTTATAAAATGAATTCTAAATATTAAAAAAAAAGAACCAACAAAAAGAAAAAGCATTTAAAGCTTAAGTAAAAAAATAAATAAATAAAAATTTTTGAATTTATCAAACTAAATTGACAATAATATTAAAAATATTATACAAAATTTATTTTTACTTACAAAAATTCTATGACAAAAAAAAAGGAAAAAAATTGAATAAAAATTAAAAAAAATTACTTATTATTCCAAAATTGTAATTCATTTTTCAGTTGTTCCTCAGCCGCTTGAAGTTCTCTGATAAATTTATCATTTTTCTTATCATTTTTATTACGAAAAAAATTTCGTAGAATAAATGACATAATTCTTGAAATTATTTCAATAAATACACAATTTGATAAGTGTTGAATTGCAATTAATCTAAAATTTAAACAATTTAAAAAAAAAAAAACTTTTGAAATAATATAGTATTATTTAAAAAATTAATTATAATTTATATCATTTTAAAATTTAAAGTAAAAACAAAACTTTTTCTTTGAATTCTACAATTAATAGTATATTTTTCATTTTTTAATTTTACTCTGTCAAATTTTGGTGAAAATAAAAGAAAATAAAGATTTAAATTTGGAAGGTGGAATAATAAGCATACCTGAATTAATCGACTAAAATGATAATTAGAGAAAGAACAGGTAAATGACAGGTAAAATGAAGAGTTATAATGAGTGATTTATAATCGTTTATGTATATATATGTTTTCTCAAAACAACTAATACCTGTGATACCTGTGAACTTATGGATACCTATGAGATAACATGGGAAAGGTTGAGAATTTCCCAGGGATTAATTATGGGTTTTTTTTTGATTGATTAAATTTCCACGAATAAACAAATGTAACATTTCAATTTGTTTTCTTTTTATCTTTTTGATATGGAAATTTGATTTTTTCTTTTTTTAAATGTTTGTTTACTAAAATTTGTTTTCTTTTTGTCTTTTGGAAATGGAAATGTGAATTTTCTTTTTTTTTTTCTTAAGTTTAATTGCTTAAATTTTTCCTTTTATCTTTTAGATATGGAAATTTAAACTTTTTTTTTAAGTTTATTTACTCAAATTTGTTTTTCTTTTTGTCTTTTAGAAATAGAAATTTGAATTTTCTTTCTTTTTTCTTCTAATTTATTTAATTGAATATCCTTTGAGTTTATTTAGTTATCCAATTGAATATTTTTTAAAATTTTAGGCATAAAAATTTGAATTTCCTTTTTTTTTTTTTGAAATTTTCTGGATATTTTTTTTTATACATAAATATAAAATTTATTATATTTTTCTTTTCAAAAAGATAATAGTAAAACATTTACCAGCAAAAATTAATATATGGAAAAAAATATATAAATGAAAATGATAATTATCATTGAAATTAATTTTAAAAAAAAAAAATATTTTAATGATAATGCAATTGTTCTATTTAAAGTAATGCTTTTTTAAAAAATAATTATTATAATTTTTTTTTTATATTTTTTGTTTGTTTGATCTTTTATAATTTTACATTAAAATATAAATTTCTAAAATCAAAAACAAAAATTTCAACTTTGTTTTCTTCTAATGACAAAATTTCAGTTCATAAAATGATGATCAGATGAAATTACCGCAATCTGGGAAATATGAGAGTGTTTGGGAAGAGGTTGGGAAAAACCACGGGAAGGTTATGGGAAAGAGAAATGTACATACATACATACATACATACATACACACATACACACACACACACACATACACATACACATACAAACACACAGACACACACACGTAAACACGCGTAAACAATTTTTTTTTTTCATTTTTTAGACTATAAAAGACATTTACCGCCTTTTATGTGACAAATGTCACACGAATTGTTCTGTTGGGAAAATTTTTGTGAGAAAAAAGAATTCGAATACTTAAATTTGAATTACCATTACTATTAGTATTTTTTGCATTTTTCATGCACATTAAATGAAATGTATTTTAATTTTAAATGAAATAATTTCAATTTAATATACACAAAAATTTTAATTTAAACAATTTCAACTTGAGTTGCACACATTAATTTTAACTCAAATAATTTCAGTTTGCGACAAACATCAATTTTAACTTGAATAATTTGCATAATAATTTTAAATTAAACAATTTTATTTATCATTTTAAGTTTCAATTTTAAAATCAAATGTGTTAAATTGAAAAAATGCACAAATTTCATATAGGAAGCTAGTGTTACTTACATCCAAAAATGAAATATTATAATTTCATTTTGAATTATATTATTAGAAAGTAAATTATTCCAATGGTTAGAACAATTTTTAATTACGTAATTTATTAAATTTCAAAAAATCACACACAATTTAAAATTTTCAAAAAAAAAAAACATTGAATATTTTATACTTAAACATTACACTGTTTTAAGCTTTATAACTCTTTTTTTTTTGCAATTTTTTTTTTCAAACTAAGCTTATTTGCATGATTGGTTTGTTTGTTTATTTGTTTACCTCTTTTTTCTGAAAAAAATTTTTGTTTTGAATAATTAATTTATTCATTTTTGCATTTAACATTATTTCATTAGCAATATTAGCACAAAATCTTTGTAGCAATAAACATATTTAACATTAAACAAAGGAATAAATATTAATTTTGCTTAGAAAAATTTAATTCATTTAAAAATTGATATTCATAAAGACAAATTCGATTACATTAATAATAACATATAATTTTTGTTTTCTTTTTTTATATTTATTTTTTTTTAATTTGGTTTTTTAAAATTTTTGTTATTTCGTGAAATTATTTTCGGTGATATATAAATTTTTTAATTAACCTTTTGTGGTCATTTTTTTTAAATATAAAATTATTTAATATCTCAGTGTTATTTACAAAATGTGAATTTAAAAATCAATTTTGCAATAATTTAAATCAACAATTAATTTCTGATTTTTTTCTAATGATAACAATTTAATTATCAACTGATAGCTTAATTGTTAAATAACACTGATAAGATCACCAAAAATTTTTTGATTTAATAATTACTTGAAAATTTTTATGAATTGTAAATCATTGCTGTTTAAGGCAATTAATGTTTGTAGTAGATAGAAATCACTTACGTAATAATTATTTACGATCACTTACGTGGTATCTCTTCACTCATTTGCTTAATCTCAAATTTCTCGAATAAAAAATAAGAATAAGGAAATCAAAAAAAGAAGCAAGAAACAAGTTTTGCATTTTTTCTAAATGTACAAAACCGGAAAGCTCTTTTTTTTTCATTCCTGAAATCATTTCAGGAATGTTTGAATAATACTAAATAAGATTAATTGAAAAAAAAAAACAAATGTTTATTGTTTAATTCCAAAGGAAAAAAAAGAAAATTATGCTTCTAAATTCATTCATTTCATCCTTTTTAAATATTTTCTAAATTTCTACCATAATTTGCATATTTAAAATTGCTCTGAATTATAGAATTTTAAATATTTTCATATTTTTTTAAAAAAAAAAAAGTTTATTTTAAGCATATTATTTTGTATCAATGATATTTGATCGGTTTATTTGTCGAAAATTGAATTATTATTTATCTATTTGTTAAGATATTTTAAAATTGAATTATTTATTTATTTATTTTTTGATACATTGATAAGAATTAATTAGAATATATCTTATCAATTCAATTTTTTATTTCTTCGGTTATAATTTTAAAAGTGATAACTTATGATAATTATTTCTTTGTTTTCATTACTTTATAAAAACACTTACTCAAATTCATTTATCTTTTCTAAACAACATTGTTACTTATCGAAAATCAGTTAAAATGTATTAAAATAAACTTTGCTATAAATTACTTTTAATAAACTTTGATAAAGTATAATAATTACAAAGTTAAATTGTCTGTTGTCGATTGCTATAAATTTTGCAACAAATTTTGTATTAATTCATAATTTTCAGGCGCAAAAAGCAAGTATTGCATAAAGCCAATGATTTTATATTGAAAGACGCATACATATGAAAAGTTTGATCTATTTTAATAATAATAATTGATATTATCATGATTATAATGATAATAATTACCGCCATAATCGTGATTTCTGGAAATTAAAACTAACAATAATAGTTATTATTGCAAATACAACTAATAAACTAATGTTGTGGCCAATAATAATTATTTTAATTATTATATTACAATTGTTTATATTAATTATTATATTACAAACGTAACTAATATTATTATTATCATTATCATTATTATTATCATTATCATTATAAATACAGCTATTACCAATACATTTATTTCTGAAATGTAATTTAAATTAAATTTCAATTTTGTTTAAATGAACTTTTTATTTTTTTAATATTTTAACTCAAATACTAATTTCTATGTTTAATGTGATTTTTAAAATTAGAATTTGATATTCTCAATTTTAACCTTTTTTGTTTAAATAAATTATTATAGTTTATTTGATAATTATCGTATTATCAATTATTTCGATCAAATTGATATTTGGCTTAAAATGTTATCAAGGTGTTACAACAGAATATTTTCATTCACCAATTTCATTCAAAATTAAAACTTGTCAAGTGGGAAATTTTTGTATTAAATATCATCATGTTGATTTTAGATATGTAAGCATTTTATTTTTTCATTTATTTTCTTTTTTTTTTTTAAATGTAATCAAATTAAAGAATGGGAGAATTAAACTTATAATATTCGTTTATAATTATTTTATAATATTATTAATTTCTTTTTAAATATAAATTTAAATTAATGAAATATAAAAAAAAAATTAGTAAAAGTTTTTGTGATTAGCAAGCATTAAGCAAACAAATTTTTAGACAATCATATCAAAAATATTTTGCTATTCGTTTACAGAATTTTTTGATTTTTTGCTTCCAATTTTAATTTATTCAATTCTTCTTCGATTTACTTAATTATTTTATATCCTATTCGCAAATTATTTTTGCATGCACTAGAATTGCACGCTGTTCACTTTTGCATGCACTAAAACTGCATCCTATTCACAATTTGCATACACTAAATTGCACGCTATTCACTTTTGCTTGCACTAGAATTGCACGCTGTTTACTTTTGCATACACTAGAATTGCACGCTGTTTACTTTTGCATGCACTAGAATTGCACGCTATTCACTTTTGCATGCTATCAGTATTTTTACAAAATTTTGTCAGAATTGCAGCAATTTAGTTAAATTTATTCCAACCAAACAATAATAATAGCAATAATAATAAATGAATACTAAAGAGTATTAATAATTTTTTCTAAGTATTATTTATCTCACTAAAAATCCCACTAATCATTCCCGGTTACTCTCATAGATAAGAGTAATCGATCGATCTATACTTGTTTTTTCTTTCTTTTTTTTTTCTTTTTCTAAAAAATTTTATCTAATAATACTAATAATTTGCATAAGTTTTATTTTTTTTTTTTTCATTTCAGCGACAATCATTCACTATCAAATCTTGTGATGATAGTGGAATTTGTATGGTAATATTTTTTTTTTTTAATAATTCCTTTTTTTTTTTTTTGAAATTTGTGTGATAATTTGTTGTATTAAATTACATTTATCATTTCAATAGTTTTTAGTTTTTCTTTTTTTAATTTTTTAAAGCTCATATCATTTAACTTTAAAATTTTTTTTTTTAAAATAAGTTTTTTTTCTTCTTTTCTTCCATACAAAACTGATATTTTTTTTTTCTTTTTTTTGTAAAAGAATTTAAAATGCTATATTAGGTTATTTCAATGATTCTAAGTTCTTTGTTTTTTTAAATTCAAAATTTTTATAATTTAATTTTTAATAATAGGATGAAAGTTGTGCTGTTGGTTCTGTTGCTGCAAAATTTATGGGTTATATGAGAGGACCGTTGGTAAATATTTGGGATTGTTGTTGCGAGCAAATGTTATGCAATTGTGCAACTTTTTTTATTTTTAATCAATCAACTATTCTTGTAAAATTTATCATTCTTATATTATTATATATTCAATAATAATATATTTTATTTAATTCATAATTTTTTTATGAATTCAATAAAAGTTGAAATTAAATTGGTGAAGTTTTTCTCTTTTCTTTTTTTAGACTTAATTTTTATTTATGTATTTTTTGATTTTAATTATTAGAAAAAATTTTATTCTTATAGTATAAATTATATGTCATAAATATTGATACTATCTATGAAATCAATCGAAATTACGCGAGAATAGAAATAATAATTTGATCAAATTTAAAGAGGAAAAAAAATAGAAAGATATCTTAGATGCAATTGTACAATGATTATGTAGGATTGAATAAGATTTAAATTCAAATTTAGATATCACACTAATATTATACATTTAAAAGCTTCACTATTATTTATTTATTTATTTATTTATTTATTTATTTATTTATTATTATTATTATTATTATTATTATTATTATTGTTATTATTATTATTATTATTATTGTTATTATTATTATTATTTATTATTATTATTATTATTTATTATTATTATTATTATTATTTATTATTATTATTATTGTTATTATTATTATTTATTATTATTATTATTATTGTTATTATTATTATTATTATTATTGTTATTATTATTATTATTTATTATTATTATTATTATTTATTATTATTATTATTATTATTTATTATTATTATTATTGTTATTATTATTATTTATTATTATTATTATTATTATTATTATTATTATTACTATTATTTATTATTATTATTATTGTTATTATTATTATTATTATTGTTATTATATTTTATTATCATTAATCAAATTCAGTGATTGTTATTCCCAATCGTTGATTATTTCTTCTTTCATCTATTTACTATAAAACCTATTTACTGATTCCTTTTTTTTTGAAATCTATATTTGATCCTTTGATCCATCATTTTTTGATCCATCATTTTCCCTTTATGGCATAACATTGATACTTTCCCATTGTGCAATTTAATCGTATCTAATCATTGTGACGTAATCTACGATGAACTTTGTATTATAACGTCATCTATCAATTCTGACGTAGTCTACGGTACTTTTTCTATTATTACGTGATCCATCAATTCTAACGTGTCTACGTTATTTTTGTATTATAAAATGATCTATTAATTCCGACGTAATCTACTATACTTTTTCTATTATGACGTAATCTACGATATTTTTTTATTATGACGTGATCTATCATTTCTGACGTAATCTACGTTACTGTTCCATTTTGATGTAATCTATAGCACTACATTTCGACGTCTATTCCGATGTGATCAGTAATATTCTTTCTATTATATGCACAACCATATGCGCTCATTAATACGTTATGGCGCATTTTGATATGCATATAAACTAAGCACTATTGTTTATTCATCATTTTTATCTTTTTTTTTTTGAAATTATTATATATTGGTATTGCTAATGAATGCTAGCATACTTTTTTTTACGTAAATATTTACATTTATTTATTGTTTTCCTTTATATATACTTTAAATTATGTATTTATTATTATAATAATATATTTGGTGTTAAATATTTTAATCGAATAAAGATATATATTTTTGTTTCAAAAAAAAATTACTTAAATTATTTATGCATCTATTATTAATACATCTAAAATATCCTTTATATCAATTGTTAAAATATTCAATTAAATCTTAGTTTTTGACCAAAAAAAAAGAAGAAAGAAAAATGTGATATTCTTTAAAAAATAAAAAAAACATTAAATACAAAAGCAAACCCTAAAGGATCGAAAAATTTTAACCTGAAATTTCTATAAGTCTACGCTGTTTACTTTTTGTTTTGAAACAAAAATATTGCGCAATTGTCGCATGCAACATTAGCGGGACAATTTAGTGGGCATTAGCAGTCGGTGAAGCGATGGGTTTTGTAATTAATGGTGGGATGTTTGTGGAAGGTCAAAGGGTATTCTGGTCAAGTAAAGTAAGTAATAGTAAGGTTATTTTGTGATACAATAATAATAGCTTTATGAGAAAAAATTGTTGATTAGTTATTAGGATTAGTTATTATTAGAGTATAGATCAAAGTTATTGATTGAAATATGTGAAAAATTTTCTTATCTAACATTCCAGTAATTAATTGGTGTAATTTATGTGTAATTATTGATTGCTTAAAGTAATTATATTTTAATTTGTAGAATAGCTATGTAAATTATACTATTATGATAGGATGAATGGCTTAATGATTCATTTGTAATAATTATTTATAATTGATAGATAGGAAAATTTATTAGAGTATTGTATGAATTAATTTGTTTTTTTTTTTTTAAAAAAAAAAATTTTGATTTCAATTGTAGGGTAGAATTTATTGATTAGATTGATTATGGTTTAGGAATGAAAGAACGAAAATGCTATCAGTGATGATTTTTCTCTTTGTTATTCTTCTTTTCAGCCTTTCATTTGCTGAAAGATTTAGGAATATTTTATAAAATTATAAGTTTGGAATATATCTTATGAATCAGTTGTGTATATTATTATTCAGTTTGAAATTTGATACTTTTAGATTTTATAAAGATATTGAACATATTGAAAATTTGTAAGTAAGCGGTTTATTAATTTAGATATGCAATAATATTATGCAATTGCAGTGATCGTTTTATTTTTTCAAATTTTATTTCCAAAATGAATGATCGTTTAATTTTTTCAGTTTTATTTTCGAGATGAATGGGGACAAAGAAACGATAGCAGAAGTTGATGATGACTTATGTTTTGTTAATCAATGGGTAGATAAATTATCTCATGGGAAATCTTTCACTTTACGCGTATTTGTCGAGTCATTTCAGTAAGTTTTCCATTCATCTCTTTTTTATTATTTCAAAATTATGATTTAATAATTAGGAATACATTTTAAGTAAGTTCTACTAATGATTTTTTATCAAATTTTTTTTTCTTTGGCATTATGTTATATGAATTTGTAACATTTCCAGGAATAAAGTATAATTTATTATATTTAAAACTTGAAACAACTCTTTGAATTTTCTTGATTTTTTGAATTATACAATGATTTAATTGTTTTTTTTTTCTTCTTTCAGATCTGAAATGAAATCTAACAATCGTGAAAAACGAGAAAATGGATTGAAACGAATTTGTTTAGTGATAAGCAAGCTTCCACAAAATTATCCATGGGAGTTACCTCATGGTCGGTATTTTCTTTATAACAAAATTACAGAGTTTGATTAATTTAATAATTCTCATTCACTTCTTATATACTCCTAATTTTAACTTCTTTCAGTGGAATTACTCATGAATTTCTTCCTAATGAATTATAGTATTTTTGATACTCCGAACTTTTTTATACTAACAGTTCTGAAAAAACTGGTAAGTTTTTGTTTACTAATATATTTGATTCCATATTTAATGACCATAAATTTTCATCACTTCGTTAAATGCTATTGCTCAAAAAAGCATATATAACTGTTAATTTAATAGATTTATTGATTTAAAAGTTGCAGATGATCATTTACTACAGTTAAATATTTCGAGTTTTACATTTGCTTATTGATTTTATTATCACTTAATGATGTGATGGATATTGATTTTGTGAACCTAAGAATTATGTTCACTATAATTAAGATTTATGTATGTATTGGAAACTTGGATAACTTCCATTTTGAAATTTCAATTAATTGTTTAGTAATTTGTGTTCATTTCAGTGATTAATCTATTTAAGAAATTAATGCAGATTGTTCTCTTTCAGCTAATGAATAATTTACATGTGAAAAGTAGTAGCATTGATTCTCTTGTTGACACTTTATTTCGTCAAGGGCAAGTGCAAACTTGTGCCCAGAGGGAGCGATTCGTATTTTATCAAATTTTAGATCTATTACTTAACAAATACTCTAAAGGTTAGAGAAATTTATCTGTTAACTTTTACAAATTTTTAGATCTAAATTGTTACATATCATACTTTTATCTTGAATTATCTTCTTAAAAATTTGACTGTTTTTTTAAAATATGTTTGTACTATTGAACTGTTGCATACATTCGAAAAAGAAAAAAAAGAAAGAAAGAAACGAAAATTCTTTCTCAAACATTTTTGGCATATTTAAACATTTTAAATTATATTAAATACGTTTTAAATCATATTAAAAATATAAATTAAATTTTAAATTATATTAAATACGTATTGCCCTAATAAAAAATAAGGTGAAATTACTTTATATTTCCTAATCTTCTCTCTAAATTTGAAAATATTACAATTATTATGTGATTTTTTCAGAACTCTCGACGAATACATACTTTATTTCCTACTTTATGTCGTCTGTATCCGGAGAACGAGATCCTCGATGTCTCATTCTTGTTTTTCGTCTTTTTTGCACTTTCTTCAAACATTTTAATTCTGGTGAGTAACTTCTGAGGAACAATTTATTTTCGAAAGTTTATATATCAATTTTGTCGAACAATTATTAGTGAAGTGATATGCTATTCTGAAGGTGAGATGGAATAAATTGTGTTATTAATTGCTTTTTCTTTTTTATGATCTTGACAATTTCAGGAGATTTTCAAAGAAATTTGCTTGATCTTTATGCGAGTGATTTGTTTGATATCATCGCTTGCTATTATCCTATTGAATTTAATCATGTCAGTAATATTTTTGTTTTTTTTTTCTAAATTCTGTGTTTTAATTTTATTCCATTAATCAATGAATATAACACTGCAGCTATTATATTCATTGCTAGCCTGATAAATTGTATTATACCTTTATATTGACATCATTTTATAACTACAACTGAATTTTTTTTGGTTTTTAGAATTCAAGGGAGCGAACAGAAATTACCAGGGAATTGTTGGTTAGTGGATGTGAAAGTTGTTTACTTGCCGATGAAGAATTTGCACCCTTTGTTTTTGAATTGATTATTGAAAAACTTCTAGATAGTGAATATTCGACGGATACAAAATTGGAAATTTGCTCATTTTTGGTATAGTATTATTGTCTTATATTTGATACTTTGTTTAATTTCTAGAATTTTATTGGTTTAAATCATGTACATTTATATTGTAAAGGTATCAATTTCCGGAAAGCTTCCAAACGATCTATACTTTTTTTTTGAGAACCTGAATTTTTAACTGTTCTTTTTGATATACTTTCTTGATTTGAAACTCGATTCTTCAATAATCATAATTTTGTAGGCCAAGGCATGTGCATTTTTTCCTTGTTATCAGCTCATTGATCACATTGGTCAATTGTGTGCAGGTATTAGATCAGTTCTATTCAATTTCCCAAATGATACACGTGATGATTATATACCAGAATCAATCACTGCTGCTGTTTCTTCAATAATAAAAGCTTTCGATAGAAGCAATATTAAGGTATCAATTTTGTGATTTTTGTTTACGTGAAGGATATTTTTAACTTTGTTCAATATATATCTAATCTTCCCATAAATACTTTTCTTTTATCATTATTTTTGAGAACATTTTCTCATAGCTTTTGTTTATTGTGCAAAATAATTATTTCTCCTTTTTTTCTTCCTTAGGAGATCGTAAATTATTGTACTGTATATATTTTCAGGATAAAAGACAACACATTGAAAGTATATGTCATGAATTTATTGAAAGTAAGACTTTTAAGTTTTCCTTGAATGTTTTTTTTTTTAAAAAAATCAATGATTAGTGATAGTTCTGATTATGCTTTATGTTTATATGAATTCAACATAAAGGCAGAGCTTATTGCATTAAATAGTCCATTTTTCAATTAGTTATTTACTATTATTTTATTAAACATTTTGCTGTTTGCAGAGGGTGAAATGTTTGTGCTACAAACTGAATTAGGTCTAACAGGTCGGCTTTTAGCATTTTTTGAGATTTTACTAAGATCTAGCGAATTATGTTCCACCGTTATTTTCGAGAGCGTTTTCTCATGGCTGCTGTCATTATGCAAAGGTAATAATTTTTTCTATTTAATAATTTTTCGTTTTCGCTTGTTTCAGATATAATGATTTTCATGTTCCTTTTCTTCTCTGTTTTTTTCAAAAATTTCTGTGAATTTGGCTTTATTCGAGATTTTTAGGTGATACGGCAAGTTCTAGTGCTAATAAATATGAAATTGTTAATAGCGGTTTGAGGTTTTTGTGTCACTGGATTGATGTAGCTGATGATTCTAAACAAGGTATGTTTTTAGAAATATAAAAATGATTTTAATTAAATGTGTGGTGATTTTTGACCATTGGCTTGATCATTTTTTAAATTTTACCTGATTTGAAGCTCAGTTTTTGTTGTGGTATCTGTTGAAGTATAACTTTGTTTAAATATCTTTTGTCATCAAATCGAAAATCTTTTAGTTGCACTCCTTCGGAAGTACCATAGTCCATTTATTGAAATGCTTGACAAATATGATCGTGAGATCGCTCAGCTTGCACGTTATAAATTACTGGAGGTTCATATATTTAATTTTTTGTTACAAATGCTATTATATTAACTTTATGAAAATGTTTTCTTTTGATTTCTGTCATTTAATTATATAATAAGGATTGAAATAGTTAAATTGCTTCAATAAATTTCAGGTTTGTATTAAGTTGGATGTGCATACGAATGGATTGTTGGAGAAGTGCAAAGTTTTCCTCCGAAAAAGTTTTGATACTATTTGCAGTGAGAATAAGGAATTAAGGTAAAGAAATAAGTGTATTGTTGTATTATTTAATTTTTCTTATGCGCAAGACTTGTTTATGTATGGCATTCAAAAAAATAAATCTGTTCAATGAAATGATGATGATGATGAAAAGTAAAGAAGCTATTGAAATTGAAGAAAAAATTATGATTTATTGCAAATTAAAATTTCTTCCAAATACATTTTTTAATCTTTAACTTATAAATTGAATTGTTTCATTTTTTGCAGGAATAGCTGTCTGATGTTTGTCTATGCTTTTGCATCATCTAAATGGACTATCCTAAAAGATTTGTTTGTAAACGAAATTGGCAATAATAAAGGTTGTGTAATTTTTTTTCTTGCTCTTGATATTTCTTTAATTGTTGATTAATTACCTATTATCATTTTTTTAAAAATTTTTTGGATATTACTAGTCTATTATTATTTTATATTTAATAGCAAACTTTCACAATTTCAAATTATGCAAAAAAACTCAAAATTATTTCGATTTTCTAGAAATATTTCCTCTAACACCATTGCTTTGGTCTATTATTCATGACATAGATAGTCTTCATTTTGCTGTATCGTATCTTGGAACATTGTTTCCGACAACATCAGGTATGAAATATTTTCATATGTATTTTTGAATCATTTTTCAAATTTAAAGTTTTTTTTTTTGAAAACATGAATCTCTTCTTTTTATCAACTTAGACGCTCTTAAAATGCTCAAGAATGTGTCCTAGTTTCTGTCAACTTGCTATTCCAAAAATTTTTTTATATTTGGTTTCCATTAATTTCTCAATCGTTTACTTTTCAGTTTGTTGATTTTTCGTAATTTTAGCTTGCTCAAATGATCTTCAAGAAATTTTCATTGAAATATTCAACAAAAACAGATCAGGAAGTATCGCATTACACGAAACATTATTGAGTCAAACTTTAAATTGCTTCTTTGTAAGGCTTGAACTTCATATGGGATCAGAAAAGGATGTAGAAGCAGAATCGAAATTATTGCAACAAATTGGACTAATAATTAGTAATGGGTAATTTATATTTTCGTATTAGGATCAGCTTGCTAAGATTTTGATCTATAAGTTGTCAAGAATTTCATATATTAAAATTAGTGTAAATTTTCTGGAGGTCAATGTTAAAACGGTGCATAGTTATTTCAACATCATCAGGTGCAATTTTTCTCATTTTGAATATAAACTATATAAGATTTCTGACTTTTTTTTAGGTTTCAAAAAAGAATATCCTCTAATTTCAGAACACATCTGAATGGCCTTTGTTTGATTCGGGAAAAGTTGAAATATTGTCCAAGTTTATTACCAGGCTTATATCTATACATTATCCAATCTCCGGTGAGAATTACTTGTAATATTTTTCATTGAACTTTTAAATAAAAAGTTATTTGCATCATTTAAAAAGATTGTTTATACGTGTAACAAAATTCTCTAATTTTTAGTATAACGATGAACTTCTGAAGCTATTAACGCAATTGGATTCTGTAGATGGTAATCTAATTTGGTATAAAACATTGATTATGGCTGCATTGGTTAACAAATCTCCAAATTATATCGAAACGCTTAAGCATATGGAGAAAATAGCGCAAAGTTTTGATTTTTTGGATAGTTTCAAATGTAGGACTCGATTATGTGTCGCGCTTCTTTTGACTGATCGTCCTGAAGGATCTACATATTTTACCGCAGTAATAATTATTATCAATTATTATTTTTGTTACTAATAACTAAATGTTAACATGTTGGATGCTATTAATATTTTCTAGAGGTTTCAAGTGGTTATAAGGAACATTTGAATGAGTAAATTCATTTCAATTTATGAGAATAACTTTTATTATTGCAGCTTCTACGTGATCTCGTTCAATGCTTTGATTCCGAAAATATCACTGTATTAAAAGAAACTTTAGTAGATATGTTAACTTTTAATACTTGCTACTCTGATCCGATAAAATGCAAGTATCAAACAACATTTTTGTGGCAACAAAGACTCTTTTGTCAATTGATTCCTATCTATGTTCAATACTTCAATGATTTAAACAAAGGTAATATGCATTCTTAATTTTTTAGTTAATTATGCATCGATCTGATGGCTATAATTTGTGATATCAGTTGCCATATCTTTTTGTTTAATTTTTTCAGTGGTTGTGTGACTGTAAATAGGACAGTAGATTTGTTTTTTTTTTTTTTTGTGACAAATTACTTCTGACTTTCTATGAATTTTATGAAATCTATCTTGTTTTACATTTGAAGAAAACAGCTGTTAATTATTTCTATAAAAAAAGCATCTTGATAAGATTCTTTTTTATAGAAATAATTGTGATTAGTGATATTAAAACTTTATTAGCTTATATTTCCACTATTTATGTGACATTAGATGCATCTGAGACTATAACAGATTTAAGCGTTGGAAAAACGAAAAACAATGAAATTAAATGAGAGGTTTAAATGATTTAAATAAAATAATCACTGAGATCTGTGCCTATATTGATAACTACAAACTTTATCAGTAGTTGTGTTCTTAAAATTAAGCGATAATTTCGATAATTGTTTTATTAAAGCGACATCTCGAGCAGAGGTTGCTTTTAATTCATATCTAATCGATAATCAGATTTTGGAATTATTTCGGAAATTTCAGAATCTCAAAATAAACGGATTGTTTTGTATCCTTTATTAGCACCGCTTTTTGCGCTTGCTGCATCATCAACAGCTATTATGAATGATAAATATGTGGAGGTAAACTTGTCCATTCGTTTAAATAGTCTTATTTTATTTTGAAATTTTAATTTTCTCAAATTTAACCAACTTTCCAAACACTATTATTAAAATGTGGATGCCTTATTGATAATAAAGAAATTTTATTTTCAGTTATTGCCCATACTTTGTGCTGCTTTGGATACATCAGGATTGGATTTGTGCGCAGAAGGACAGATTATTACAGGTTTAGCAGCATTATTGAAAAATGCAACAGCTGAACAATTGGGTCATGATTTCTTGTTGAAAGTGCTACCACGATTGCAACATTATCTTGAGCATAACACGAATATGGTTTATTTTATTTTATTAAATTTAATGAATTTTGTAAAAATTTTCAAAAAGTACAATTTCGTAAAACAGAATTTGTAAAAAGACTTTACTTGATGATAACAGAATACGAAACTTTACGAATCCTAAAGATTATTTAGGAATGTTCTTAACTGTTGATAAAATTTTCAATAAATTTAAATTGACTTCTCGATTCTTTTTTTTTTTTGCAGATGGTTCAATTAGCAACACTAGAATGTTTAAAGTTAATAGCACAAAAATGGTCTTCTGAAGCATTACTTCCATTTTATGGTCCTATTGTTCGTAGTTTAATCAAAATTTCTGGATCTCAGAAGCGGATTGTTCGAACAGCAGTTGCAAATGTCCGAAATTTATGGTAACTTTTTGACATTTTTTTTTTTGGTAATTAATCTTTCAACAACTAAACTATCCTTAGCGTCATATGTCAGCCGCAGTTAACATAAAATCATGATATAAAGAGCGATGTAATATCTATGCTAACAGCTAGAATACATATAATCGAAATAAATAAAACAGTTTTAAAAAAAAACTATAATAATAAAGAAAAATGAGGAAAACATCGTTTACGAGACCAAAATTCCAAATTGATTATTTTCATATCTTTAATAAAGTTCAAATTTCTGCCATTTGTTATAAGATTTGATGCATTGAATTGATTTAGCATTCGACATTTAAATTATAGTTTTGGAAATGTGTTAGATAAAGTCATTGTTATTTGATTTGTTGAGAGTTTTGTTTAATATTTTTATTTGTAAACTTTTTACTTTTGCCTCTTTATCCGTTTGTTTTATCTGCTACGAGAATTATCTCGACAAATTATCAGTCTGAACATATTTAGCGGAATGATATGTTGAAGAATTTCAAAAATCTAAAAAGTTAGATCAGTGATCACTGTTAACTTCTAGAAGTGTTATCTAGAATAGTTGATCATCTATTCGATATATTTGTTTATCAAAGCACTCAAGTCATAATTTTAAACTAAAAAAAAAAAAAAAATATTTTTTTGCAGGGAATTGTTACCAACGAAGTAGCACTTTAGTGATAATGAAGAATTGATTTTAAATATGTGAAATCTGTCCTATTCGATACATTTGTTACATGTTTGTATATTTTGATTTGCAAACAATAAAGAAATATTTTTGATCTGAAATTAGCATATTTGTTTTATTTATTCACATACACATATAATTTTTTATTTTATTTATTATTCCATCGCTACTGTAAATTTTATGAAGTATTATTAAAAGTACTAAATTGAAGGCATTATTGATAGATAATTGGATAAATTAATTATTTAGACATGAATAAAATGTAGAAATAAAAAAAAAAGGGAAAAAAATCAATAAATAAAAGGAAATAATTTCATTACAAGAAATTACTAGCAAATAAGAAGAGAAAAGAAAAAAAAACAAAAGTATAAAATCTAAAAAATCTAAAAATGATAAAACTAAGAGAAAAAGAAATGTACTATTTTCTATTGCAGCAATAATAATAATTCACTCTTTTAGGGCAACAATTTGCAAATATAAACTGTTATGATTGACATTCCAATAGACTTTCATATATTTTCAATTGGATAAAATGATGAATTCGATGATAACTATATTTGCTTTTAAACTTATCCAATGGGAATTTTTCCATAAATTATTGAAGAACAAAAGTGGAAAATATACATACACAATTTAAATATTCATTGGAATTTACTGCAATTTCTTTTGCTAAATCTTCATCATTTTCTACTAATATTTGCTTAAATCATTTGGGAATTAAATGTTCAAAAATTTTAGATTAGATGAAATTAAAAAGTGTGTGAATGTAAAAATTGTATGAAGTGTCAACATTTTAAATTTAAATTTATAAATTTAAATTTTTTTCTTTTTACAGTTTATTTCTTCATTATATGCTTTTAACAAAAATGAAATAATCCATTGTTTAACACAAATTATTTGCTAATCTTTTATTTTTTTTATTAATTTTCTTTGTTTTGGTTTTCTGCAAATTATTTCAAAAAATTTTGTTTTGAAAAGAAAAAGGGTAAAATTTAATAATTTGTACTACTTATGAAAATATTTTTTAAATCTTTTATTTTAAACTTTCTCTCTCATTTTTTATTTCCAACTTTTATAATATTTATTTATTGAATATTAATAATATAAATTGCTATATTTGTATATAAATTGCTCAGTATTCTTCTCTCTCCCTTTCTTTTTTTAAAATTCAAAATATTGAAATTATAAAATTTTTCTCATTTTTTTTCTTTAACAAAAACTTTTCCATTTTCTCTTCATTTCAATATGTAATTAATTTGATTGAAAAAAAATTTTTCCAAATACTTTAGCTATTTCATTTATGTTTTTTGTTTCGCATTTTTTTTATCTTTTATTTTTCCATCCTATCTACTTCAATCCTAAAATACTTTAAAATATACTTTTAAAAAGAATTTATATTAATTTTAATTTAATTTTTACTAAAAAAAAAAATAATAACAGTGTTGGTATACAATAATAATAATATAATAAATGTATTAATTACACTTTTTGTGCAATCTCTCTAAAAAAACAAAAAAGACAGAAATGCTAGAAATGGCAATGAATGTTGAACTTTTCCATCTCTCCCTCCCTCTCTCTCTCCCTCTCCTCCCTCTCTCTCTCTCTCTCTCTCTCTCTCTCTCTTAGCATCATTAAAAAGGGTGTTATTATTTGCTGAAGCGTAAGAAGAAATAATCGTTCATTGCTGGTGTATTTTTCTTCCTTATTTCAATTTCACATTTATTAAGCCAAGCTAACCATAATATTTTCTTTTAGGCCTTATATATATACACGATTTAAAAATATATTTATTCATTTATTTTTTATTTTTATTTTATTTATTTATTTATTTGCTTTGTTTATTTATATCACTAATTTATTTTGTTTTATTTATTTATTGTATTCATTTCTTTTATTTGTTTAGTTGTTTTATTTATTTACTTATTTACTCATTTATTTTATCTGTTTATTTTATTTTATCCGTTTGTTTCATTCATTTATTTATTTATTTGCTTATTTATTCATTCGTTAATTCTCTTTGTTTATTTATTTTATTTATTTATTTTTTTTTATTTATATTCACCTTTAATAATCTTTTTTTTTTCTTCATTATGTTTGAAATTATTGAAATAATCAAAGGTAAATAGTAACACATGTAATCATCAAATACAATATTTAATATTTATATTTTTTTTTTCTTGCAAGTTTTCATTTATTAAATTTTAATTTTACTTAAAAATTATGCAAAACAAAAAAAAATTTTCTATTTTCAAATTTTTTCCTTTAATTTGTATTATTGGAAAAAAAATTCATTTATTTGATAATTTTTTTACATTTTCTTTTTTCATCAAATCATTAATTAATGTTAATCTTTATGAGCTTTTTTTTAAGAATTAAATGGAAAGAAAAAATTGTATTTTATTTGAAAATTCTTTTTTTCCTACTTTTAAAAATTGTAAGCTTATCAGAAAAGCTTATCAAAAATTTAATTATTATTATTATTATCAAATTTCATATCAATTCTAGTCAGCTATTATCAGCTATTACAATTTGTAAATTTTATCATGCTGATAAAAAAAGTTTTTTTTAAAAAATATGGTATAAAATACACATTATATTTCATGGTTATTACAATTATTGTTATCAGTAAGATAGCATTTATCATTATCATTTAAATATATCACTCATTTATCACTTATTTACACTGATAATATCCATTACTTTTCTTTATCATAATTTTTTAATATTACTGTTACACTCATATTAATATTATAAATCGAAAAAGAAAATTAGAAATAGTTATAAGTTAGAAGTAAATTTCATTTAAAATTTTCAATTTTAATTGAAGCAAATAAAATTCTAATAGAAATAGAAATAATAAGCAAAAACAAAATTAAAAAAAAAAAAGAGAATAAAATAAAAGTAAAAGTATATTGATCAAATGATAATATACTAAATGATAATTATTAGCGGTACTTTTATTAAAAGCCATTTAAATTCTTGGCTCACTATCTTGGCTCATTTTCTTGGCTCATTTTTTTTCTTCCTTGTCTGCAAGAAGCAATAAAAAGAAGAAAAAAACGATACAAATTATTGCTGTCGTTATTGCTACCAATCCTAAATTATAAAATATAACAGTTAGCATTTCTTCTATTTTTAGAGAAACTAAAAATAAAATGATTAATTAAAATATTTTCTAATATTTAATTAAATTATTTATTCAAATATTTTTAACATTTAATTGTAATATATGTTAAAATATTGTTAAAATTTGACACAAAATAATACTAAAATTTTATTGAAAATAATTCTTTTTTAAAAAAAAAAAAAAAAAAAACGGAAAGGAAGAAAAATAGAAATAAATTCTTATAGAAAGTGAAATAATGCAGTGTTAATGAATTATTTTTATATTTCAAATTTGTTAGCGCATATTTATAAATAATTCAAATTTCATTATTCCTTTCTCTAAATTTTTTTTTAGATTCAATTTTTTTCATTTAAATTTTAATATTTATTTATTTCTTATATTCTTCTAAAATTTTATATATAAAATTAAAATATAAAAGTGTAAAATTAATGATATAAATATTAAAATATTAAAGATTCATTCTTTTCAATTCATTCTTTTCTTCCTTTTTTTGTTTTAAAAATTGCTGTTATTTTGACGAAAATCATTTCATTTAAAAAAAAAAAAATGAAAAGGAAAAATTTAATCTTTTTTATTTTTCCATTTATTACATAGTTAATTTGTAAATGAAATGAAATTAGAAAATAATAGTTATTCTCCTTTTTTTTCTTTTAACTAAATTTTATGTTAAAATTTAATTTAAAAAAAAAAAAGTTTAATGAAGTGACATTTGAATGGATGACAAAAACAGGTGGCAGTGATAATTTCATCGTTTTCTTTGCCTTTTTTTTTTTTATTTTAATAGTTTCGTTGTAAAAATAGTAATCAATCACAAATAGAATCGCATTGCATTGTTGGTGACATAATTTTGCAAAAAAATGTCAATCAATTTTTCATCGTTTTCTCTTTCTTTTTCTTTTCTTTAAGAGAGAGAGAGGGAGAGAGAGAGGGAGAGAGAGAATTTATAAAGTGTTTAATTTTCAATCATCTCATTCTGATAATTTCTTCCTTTCTTTCTTGAATAATTTCAATAATTATAATTATTCTCAAAGCTTTTTTTTATTTGAAATTTTTTTTCAGTTTTTTTTTTTTTTTTGTCTCTTTTTTTTCTTTTTTTATTTTCAACTTTGAATTTATGGTTTCTGTTTCTTTAAATATATATTAAAATAATTTTACAACAAAAATTCTTTGCTCGATTTTTCTT